GTCTACTCAGTGTGTTGGCGACACCTCTTAAGTGATGACACTATGCTAAGGAGGTATTTTGAATGTTTAATTAAAGGAAGGTAGAAGTCAGCTTGACTGGAGCAGAAGACTGAAAGGACTATTGCAGTATACATTAACCTCAGCAGGACTGCAGGCCTCCACCATGTTCCTTGTGTGGTTCCTTGCTGCTTTTAGGAGGCCAGAACCAAGAAAAGTACCAGCCTCAGACAGACCTTTAGCTCCCATTCTGCACCTCAGAAGGAGAAAAGCCCACTGTGTCCAAAACTCAAGCAGCAATGCATGATTATATCCCCATTTTAACAACGTATTTTTCCTTCGGCCAACACACTCTATTTAATCAGCTCTGAGATAATGCTCTACAAGCATTTCTAAGCAGTGGAGCATTTAAAACAAACAAATCTTTGCTGGAATCTCTAAATGCCATGTGGCAAAATCAGCTGCAGAGCAGGGTGCAATTGTCTGTAATTGATTATGAAGGGTGTTTTCCTTCACTGATGATTTATACCATGTCCCGAAGCCTAGATCTGTCAGTTCTGGCACTCATGCTGGGAGATTATAGCAGCCATGCAGTGATTTCCTATAATTGTCAGTCTTTTGGAAGGCTCTGCTATAAAAGTTAATTTGAAATCATATGCATATATGTATAGAGATATAATTAGTAGGTAATGCTATTAGCATAATAATAATAATAATTAGTAGGTAATGCTATTAGCTGTTGATAGAAACAGTCCACCTAAGTGACTGGACCTAGGAAAAGATAAAGTTAAATGCACCACGTGAAACTGAAGAATCCTAATTTTTAAAACACATACAGCACCCCCCTTTTCAAAAAAAGCATTCCTTCTTTTTAACACTTATACAACAACAAAATAATAAACAAATACTACCACCAGACAAGTCAACGGTTTCCATACAGAGAAATCCAAGAATAAAGCAAGAAACTAAAACAGGTATTCAGGAAAATTCCTTGCAACATACCCTGCTGGCAGCCGTGCATTAATCTGTATTTCACAGTCTATTCCTTAAAATGAATGACATTTTTACAACTCAATACTATGTGAAATACTATGTTACATTACCTGATCCAGACTACTATTCTTTTTTTTAGGTTCCAGCTGCCATGATCACTTTGAATTACCTATTTTGCTTGGTGAGCTGAAGTCTTACTTTTTAAACCAGTCAGTTTTTGCTCATCCCAAACGTGCTCACTGTATCTTTATGAAGGATTAGAATCAACAGGATCACAGCAGATCTAAATTAATGAGAACGTACTGAAAATATTAAGCATTAGAAACCATTCCTCCCTATTTAAGGCAGTTATATGCACCCAAGTTGAGAGGGTCCAAATTTGGACGATCTAGCGATGACAAACACTTCTACTTGACTTTGGGAAAATCACAAGTGACAGGATCTTCTAGAGCCACAGCATCTATTTGTCTGTTTTCATTATAGTTTATTTATATAAAGAAAAAAATTCTACACAATCGATGTATACCCTATTGAAGGCTATCCTTTACCTTTTGGTTTGGTGAACCCGTCACCTAAAGCCTATACTGCAAATTGGCTGTTGATGTTCCATCCTACAAATACTTCTTCCCCAGCCCTTGCGAGCTGGTACTGCTGTGCAGAACACGGCTAATACCAACCGAGCTCTGCACCTCTCTGCTTTTACATAAATAAAAGAGACTGCTTGCTGCATTTCCCTGAAAGCAGTTTCTATTTCAAAAACCAAGTACCAGATCCCAGTGAGGCTGAGGGTTGTAGGGGGAGGGAACTGATAATTCCTGACTTCATCATGACCCCTCCTACGAATGTGAAAAGAACCGCATTTTGGCAGGGGAAGAAATGCCTGCACGTGGGGAATGATAAAATCCCGTAGTAGCTCAGACTAGATAGTGCACGAGAACCCAGGCCTGCAAACCAAACCATATGTTACTCAGCAAGACTCTCATCCCGCTCAGACAGGATGGCATCGCCGTCGTGCAAACGCCTCTTTGTAAACTAAGATTATTTTCATACCCTGATCCTTAGGGAGCTCGACCCAGCGGCAGAGAGCATCAAAAAGAGCATCAAGAATTCCCCAGTCTATGGCCTCATCTCTCTGGAATCCCAACGAATCCCATCACCTAGCCCCAAATCTCTGCCCAGCTCATGCAGGCTACCTGCCACCAGCATCAACCCTGCTCGCCCTCATCCACCCTTTCCACAACTCAGCCACTTGCTCAATCCCTCCTCCAGACAGCACAAAGCCAAGGGAGAACCTTCAGTGATCAACAGATAAATATAATTTACTGACAAAACCTCACCAGACCTTAAACACAGTCCTCTGAAATACAAATAAATTGAAACAAAGAAGTAAACTTGGCAGTGGAACAAAACAAACCGAGCTGAATAATCCAGAAACACACACCCATTAAATAAAACACCTCCTGAACTGGTTTTTTTTCTTATTCCTGATTTGTGACAACAGTTCTCAAATCCAAAACCAGCTTTAAAAGGTGCAGAAATTAAACAACTGCTGCAGCCTTAGAGACTGTGGAGACTGACTGAAAATTGAAGAAATCTTCACTGTTGATGAGCACAATTTCAGAGGCTGCTCGTCTCATCCTGCCCTTGCAAGCTAACACAAGCAATTAGTGAAATGAGCAGTGAAATCACCAAAACAGAAACACAGATTTCTTTTATCACTTATAGTAGCTGCCTTTTTCTCTGTGAAGATACAACAGCAGAGAGCCCTTCCATGAGAAACTCCTGTTAATAAGAAAGTACTCGGGAGAATTGAGAGTAGGGGAATTTTTGCTAAGGAGTTGAAATAGGATTCGCACTTCCAAACAGATACTGGTTTTCAAAAAGCTATTCCCACTTCTAAAAGCAAAATGACATTTTTGCTGAGAAAACCTAGAAAACCAATATAAACCGATAAAACCCAATCTGACAAGCATGTTATAAGACAGGGATTTTGTCCTCTGTGTAAACAATAGCTTTGGAGAAGGTCCATATTGCATCATTTAGTGATAAATAACTAAACTGAGGGCAGTGGTTGGCACTGCTGTCGCATGCAATGAAATAACGCTCTCCCCCCGAGGAGCCATTTCCAACTAACACAACTGAGCTCACACCAAACCCGAGGTAATTTCTATGCCGTCAACTTATCTCTGAGTCATTATGATGGTTTTGCATTTAGGCAGAAATCTAATAAATGCCTTTTATACCAGCAGCTGATATGTATCGCGCTCTGGTTAAGTACACAACATTTGAAAAGCCTTTTCTTTGTCCAGGAAGCTACACAGAATTTTAGCCACAGACATGTGTGAATTGAGCTGAGGGCTTCTCATCAATCTTTTGGATATACTCAAAGGCAAAAGTCTCTCTCCTTCCCACTGGTCCTCAAGCAAATGAATAAAATCATAAAATTACAACAAAACACCCCAACATGTAGCCAAGTCAGACAAAACAGGAATTAACATTTTTGGTCACAAAACTAACCAAGTATTTTTCAGATCAGACAAAGTTCATCTCCCCCGTCTCAAGAGTTTGCAAAATACTGTACTTTAGAGGAAGACAGCTAAAGCAGTACTAGAGGGATTTCTCTGTAGTATTTCTAACCACAGATATTCAGAAACCCTGAATAAAAGGGTTCAGAAAAAGATTAATAATGTCTGAAATAAGCTCTACCCCACTTCTGGCCAATGGTGATGGACTTGAACTAAACCCTCAGATCCAAACCCAGAGCCTGGGTCCAGCCCCTGCTGACGGGCCCCGTTTTGAATAACAAGGTGAACCAAAACCTCAGACACCAACCCAGGGCTGAACCCAGGGGGTGATTTGGTGGGTTTGAGGACTATCCTGAGGACCTACTGCAACAAAACAAAACCAAAACATATTAAACTCCAGCTTCAAAAGAAACAGGTCTTTCAGGAAAGGATCATATGTGGGAATGGAGGCCGTTTTGGCAAGCGATGGCCTATGACAAAGCCGAAGGCCTGTTACTGGTTCAACTGGTTTGTTGCTCGAGGTGTTGCCCTCTCCAGAAATGCTCATTGCCAGCCACAAGCAATTATAAAATACATTTTATGCCACGCTGTTGTGCACACTTTCAATCTGATACTTGCTTTTGTACCTCACTCAGAAGCATCAGCATCTTAATCAAACTGTTTGAGATTTGATGTAGTATCTCCCCTAGGTTTACTTTATTACAGTCTTTTTTTCATTTCTGGGGTAGTTTCTGGATGCTTGGCTATGAAATTCCCTCCCTTCAGTCTTCAAAATTCTTCCTGAAAAATACTCCTCTGTATTTGGTACCTAGTTACTGCAATACTAGTCACCTTAGGAACATTATAAATACACAATTAAATAAAATTCTGTTCCAAAATCCATTAAGTCAGTAAAAATTTTTCCATTGAATTCAATGAGCTGCAGGATCAGGCCCCAAAATCCTTGAAATACATTTTTTTTTCCATCTATAGACTGCTAATACAGAACATATTCCATTTTTCACATTTCTCCTCTAGCATCCCTGCTCTGATTTCCTTGCTTTGAGATGCACATTGCCGTGTTAAAATGTACTCTCTTCCCACGCCAGCCTCAGGTGCCAGATTAAATCCCACCCCTACCACAATTTGGCTCAACGCTTATTTATTCCCCTTTCCAAAGCTTTCAATCAGAAGGATGTGCTGGCTTGGTTGTATAGTAAAAGATTTTTTTAACTCTTTATCTACTTTCTGTTACCTGTCTGCGCAGAGGGATTCGCTTTGTCAGCTTATGGACCGCGGGCTGGCTGCTGAAATCGGGTTTTTTGGTGGTGTTCTTCATGCGGCACACGACGACCATCAGCACCATGCAGGCAATTAAGAAGACGCCTATGCAGTAAATTGCTATTTCCACGTAGTCCGGCGACGTTGGATATTCCTTTTCTTTTTCAGGAGCTGGATTGGAAGTTTTTAGGAGGGAACAATCATGCCATAGAGTTAGCACACGGTACAAGCGTGGTTCAGTACAGGGCTTGGAACAACATGAAATGGTAAAATAGCAACAATTCTTGCTGTGTGACATACAGAATACTGTGAATGTTCAGGCCATCTTGCAATTTGAGAGTAATTCCTCTGTCTATATCACTGCTTTGACTTAGTCTGCCACTGAGTGTGAGCTTGTGCACATATGTATACATATATAGATGTACACATGTGCCTGCCTAGATAGGCAGATACATCTACATTGAAGTACTGGATGATCAACCATAATTTTAGGGAAAAAGAATAAACTGACGTGTTCAAACTAGGCTCAGGTTCATTTTGTTGCTCAAACTTCCAAAGCACTGTAATTCTTTCTAAGCACATAAAGACACATCTTAAGAACATATTGCATCAACTAGCCTAAAAGAAAAGTGTCTCAATTTGCAATCTGGGCTTGAGCCTACGTTGCCTGCTTATCCAAAATTTTCACTGGGATCTCAAAATCCAGATGGAAGGCAGGATGAACCAGCCCGACATGTTTCTATATGCAAGTCAGAGCTGTGGTTCAGCTGGGTACCCTCACTCCCCTGAGGTATTCTGAGGGGCCCAGTGTGGATTCAAAAGCAGAACGCAAGCGAAAGCTGAATTGCGAGCAATAAATTAACTAACGAGTGCTCTTTTGTGAGGACTGCATATTTTGAGTAATCTCATCAGTGGTGACCAGTCTATGAGATTAGACTTTAGTGGGAGTGGTTACACATAGCTGTTGCTCTGACTGAAACCGTTTTGAAATTATCTTCAAGACAGTTAAATGTGCAAACACTGTCCCTAATCCTTTATCTGGGATTCAGCCCCCGGATAAACAGCATTCCACAGCAATCAGCGGTCACTCCACAAGCAATGCACGTTTCAAGCCGAAATTTTCTTGTGCCTCATTCTAGGCTTACAGAAGTATTTCATTCAAGAAAATCAGTTTTAAAAAATGCTGTTCAAACACTGCAAAATGCAAACACTGCAGGCAGAAGCAAGCGCTACACAAGGACTGCTTTGCCTGCTTGGTGACAGACCACGCAGGCTCAGTGTTGGTAATAAAGTTGCCTTGTTAAATAGGTTTTAATAAAGGGTAAGAAACTATGTGCAGAAAGCGGGAACATTTTACTACTGTAATATGAACCTCGGCGATATGCACATGCGGGTTTTGAACCTTTTACTCAGGATTAACAATTAATAAATGGTAAGCGCAAGATGACCCAGCAAACCTCAGGTGGTTCGTGTTTTTTCAAAGGAACTCCTAAGGCAGCTGCCAACAGTTATAAACGAGAAAATGTGACCAGTGTCAAAACCAACTACAGTTACATCTTCTAACAGCTGATAACAATTTTCAGGCAATAAAGCACATTGATGTTTGTTTCTTTTAAGGACAGAAACATCATCAACCCCAGAACAGCAAGACATGCTTTGCAGTAAGAGCAAATGACTACTTGTTTCCTTAGAGCATGCAATGTTTAAAGATGCACAGAGCCCGTTCCCAAGATATGGAAGGCACTGCTTCTGTACACAATCCATTGGCATTGAAATTACAATTTCCATAAGAGATTTGGATGATAAGCAAACGTGAATTTAAGCATATCGAACAGCTCGGGTATTTTAATTAACCAGTACATTATTGTGGCCAAATTAGTCCCAAAGCTTCGTAAGAAACTTTGAATTTCCTCCTCTTGAAAAAGTTTACAATGATTAATATACTGATTTGCAGTTATCTCATGGAAGTGCTAAGGAAGTGCAGCTCCTTAGCATTTCTGATGAACACTTAACAGATGTAAAAATATTTCAATTATGTGCAATAGCCATTCCCCCTCTCCCCCTTTTTTGTTGTTAGATTTTTGGAGTCACAGATATGCACTAAAACAACTCATTGGCTTGAGATAACTGTGTTTAACAAAAATCATTGTAAAAGTCCTTTTCTGAGACAGAAGCCGTGCTAATTCTGCAGCAATCAACAAGGGGAAAGAACACAAAAACAAGAGGAAAAACCACAGAAAGAGAGCAGTGTATACCTGGCAGAACTGTCAACCATGCAGTGTGAAAGGATATCCCAATAGAATTACCCGCCAAGCATGTATACTCCCCAGCATCCTCAAAAGTTACATTCCGTATATAGAGAACCTCAATTTCTTTGTCCGTGGTGTTAACACCGGCAGCCTAGAAAAAAACAAGAGAGGGAAGCGAGAGAAAAAGCTAGACATGGAGAGAATTCTTGTGGATAGGGAGACGGAGCCACGGGGCTTTGCACTTTGTGAAGGCAGAGGTGGAGAGATGCAAAGCTCCTTCCCCATCCACAATCCCTCATCTCAGAGGCGTTTCCCAACAGGTCCCAGCTCACCTCGGAAAGTAATCAACACCCTTCACCAGACCTAAACTCACCACCTAGACATGCAGGCAATCACACGACATGGAAAAATTAACCCACAAAGCTTTTATATATATTTTTTTCTTCTTCTTTTTGAATAAAAGGAAGTTGAGAGAAAAACAAAGAGAAAACAAGGTAGGACAGAGCGTGGTATCCTTCACATGTAGTTACCTGTTTCAGAGGGAAGAGTTTACTAGAAAAGGATAAACAAAAAAGGGCAAATTCTGCTCCAAATGACAACTTGGTAGCTCTCAAGCAGTGTATGGTCCTTGCACCATCCACTGCACTGCACTTAAAATACTGAATGTCATGCAGTGTTGCTCAGTTTAACCTGAAGCCTGGTAATATTTGGCTTAAAGGCACAGGGAGAAAAGCTGACCCCAAAGGTTGAAAAACCAGGAGATGCAAATAAAAGATATTTTCTAAATCTTAGGTATTTGATAATGATAATAATAATTATAATAATGATAATAATAATCTGTGGTCTCCTTCCAGACTTGCTAAATCTGGGGCTGGACAAGTCATTGTGGACCAAACCAATCCATGTATCAGTGATTATCCAAACTCATACAAATACAGTAAAACTTAGACCTGGAACTTTCCAGCTGTGCCATGGGCACAGCAGGGCATCGATGTCAAGGTCTCTGCGATAGAGATTTACAGAAATTATCATTTGAAGGTTTTTGTCTCTATTCCATTCTAAAACGTTACTTGGAAATACAAGATGAGGGAGTAACAACATTTTTTACCAGACCATTTTAAAGTAAATTTAGTTGTGAGTTGCAGAAACATTGTTGCCAGTCTTTATTGCTATTGATGGGTTATTACCCAGTTAATAATGGGTGAATAACAACTGGAAAACCATCCCACCTGCACAGTCACAGGTGGTGAAGGAAGTCGTAAGTGACTGAACTGACCTGACTAATGCTTCAGTGGGTACCTATGTGAACATTTCATGTACATATATACATATGTATATATAAAAATATACACTAATTAGGTAACAATGACATTATTCAACGAGTACCCTATATGTTAACAACAAAACTGGACGTAAACACACAGACACAAAGACAAGAACATAAGAGGGGGAAAAAAGATCAGGGTCAGAAAATAGTGCTTGTGGCACACACAGAATATTGTGGGAATTTTTCCATGGCTGCTGGTGTAATACCAGTTGCATCACCGAAGGAAGATTACACAAATACCAGAAGGCCAAAGAGTTATCCTATAAGCTGCCTGCAGTCTCCCAAAGCACCAGTTTTTCCAGCTTCTACATCCAGCTTGCTTTAAAAAACATTGTTACCTTGTATACTCGGCAGAACAGAGAGCCAGGCAGACTGGTTGGCCTCCCCTATATAATTGGAGACCTTACAAATATATTCTCCAGCGTCCGCCTCTGTCACATTGTACAGTGTCAGCACTTCAGCATTGGAACTATTTATCCCCGAATGCTAGAATAGACCAATAACACAGGAGAACAATGTCACTGCTGCCCAAAATGGTCACCGATCTGTCTACGGTCCCACCACCAACGCGTCACAAGAACATGCTTTCTGCTTCATATAGGGATCAGCGGCCAAACATTGAGGGTTTGGGGTTCATTTGGGTTTTTTAAATCTGTTGCATCACATGAGAAGTCAGAAAACAGCAGCACGGGGGGAAAAAAAGCATCTGGGCTGGTACAGCTGTTGGGTGGACCAAGACGGTACAGAGCTGGGTGTCCTGCCTGCCAATGTGCTGCGTTTTGGCAATGCCACCCAGCTCGGGAAATCTTGGGGTTTCCTTGGTCAGGCTTGCTCTGAACGCCTGCCAACAGGAATGACACTGTCGATACGCTGCGGCACGCCAGCGAGAAATGGACATCTCCGCAGGCTCAGCATCCAGAAAAGCCAGTCCTGCCAACAAGCTTTTGGCAGCAGATGCCACGTTACTTTGAAAGAAAGGGGCTGAAGAAACGTGAAAGAAACGGAGTAGATTCTCCTGGGTATGTTTTGGACGCGCTCTATCAAAATATAAATGTCAATGCTGTTTCTAGGAGAGTTTTCAATTTTTTCCGAATAAGTCATGCCTGAAACATTCAGAGATAAAGGACTTCACAGAAGTAAAAAAAAAAAGCAAAACAGTGGCTATAAGCTGAACAATTAGCATTTAGACAATCAAATGTTTATCTAACTCATTATTTCATTAGTAACATAAACACTTCCGTTTTCAAATGAAGATCTCAAAATCCTTGGATTTACATCAAATAAACCCAACGCTTTAAAGAAGTCATCACCATCGCCGGCATCTGTAAAGCCTCACCTTTAAAACCTGAAGGTAGGGCAGTCCATCTGGTCCGTATTTACTGCCGTTCTTCTCCACGTGTTTGATCCACTGAATGTGGGGCTGGGCATCGCTGTAGACTTTGCAGACAAACTCAACGTCGCCTCCGACCACGGCCGAGGCGTTTGCTGGAAGCCCGGCCTGGAGGATGGGTCTGTGCGGGGACCGCTCTGTTCGATGGGGAGGGGGAGCCAGAAGGAGCAAGAGAGAGCGAGAGAGAGGGAAATAAAGATGCATAAATAAGCGGAGCTGCCAAGAAAACTGTAAGTGAACTCGAGCCAAAAAGCCCTGTGAGCCTGTTGGCTGACTCCTCCGAAATAACACTGCAGCCAAAACCTGTAACAAAAACTACAGTTCAAAGGAGATGACTCGAGCGCTACACTTGTAATATAAAGAATAGCTGTTTGGGGGGAGGGGAGAAACCCTGCCTAAAAACTTTTAAGTGTTTGTCATAGTTGAACTCAGCAAGAATTAAATAAAATATCTACCTCATTTTTTTCGGTGCTATTGTAACAAGTACGTTTTAAAATACTATGACTGGACTAAACCTCCACAGACTAAAAAGAAAGGTTACTGATGAATTTTAAAGCTGATTAATGTATTAAAATATACCAAAGTGCATATTTTCTCAGAACTATTTCTCCAAACTAGCAGCAGAAGCCTCAGCACCAAAATTCCTCATGCGGGATACAGATAGCAGATAGCTCGGCTTTCCAAAACACCCTGACCAGCCCTGTCACCATCGCTGTGCTCTGCTTTACCCACACAGCAGCAGAAATACCAGCTCACTCTTATTCTGAGCAGCCCACAGGGAAATACAGAGTTCTTGGGAAAACTGCAGTGTATTTCATGTGAGCCAATACAGCTTTTAATCTATTAACTGCTTAAGGATTTATCAAATGTTCCTGGTCAAGCAGGGCACGAGCCAGCTCCACAGCTTCCAGGGCCTTCTTTTGCTGCACAAGTGGGCAAAGCATAAAAACTTCTCGGCCACATGTCACATAAGAGAAAGTCACCAAAATGACAGCCCTGGTTACCAAATTGCTTTATTATCCAGTGAGGGAGGCGGACACTGCCACCCACCCCAAAAACCCTCCAGAGAGTTGCAGTCTCCTCAGCCTCGCTGGGAACTCACCACCTTCTTCAGGCAAACTCAAACATTTCCACTCCTTTCAATAAAGTAAAGATAATACTGACCTACACATACTTTCAATCTATGAATTAGTAGTGAAACACCCATTGCTCAACCCCCTCTCTAAGAATTCTTTCAAAGACAAGTAAAAACCAGCGGACCTAAATATTTATTTTTAGAGGCTGCACACTGTAAGAGCTTTGACATGAGAAGCCAAATCAACTGAATTTCAAACCAAGCGTTCCTTCTTAAACACACTACTTTCCAATAAACTGTTTCACAAGCAAACATTGCGAGTGTAATAGCAAATAATGATGCCCGTGGAACAATGGGATCTTTTATACAGTCCAATATATTTGGCATGCGGCAAGCATCTACTGGGAATTTATTCACTGAGGCTCCGCTGGCAGCACACTACAAAGCAGCAGTCTTATTTGACTTGTGGCAAAAGTGCATTTGCGTTGCAGTTATTAAATTATTTCACGGCTATGCGTGTCATTTTCAGAGATCTAGGAACGGCTTAATATTTTTTAATTTGTAAATTACAGTAGAAGATATAAACTTCTGTTTTACAGTTCTGGAGAGGACTTTTAGTTTCTCACCTTACACCAAATAAGCTCTAATTCCACCTCTCTCGCTCCTTCATTTGGGTACAAAAACAGCAAGCAAAAATCTCGCTTTAATAGAAACCTTACACCATCTTCCAAAACTTATTACAGCTGCCTTCAGTATAAAATGAAACCTTAGAGAATGTTATTTAAAATGTTTTTTAGAAGTCAGTAGGCCTCATGTTTCATTTCTCCACATCAGGGTTTGATTTCCTTTGTGACCTTACTCTCTGCCCTTAAACAAACCAGAGAATGAGGCCTGAAACATCTTGGAAAAGTTCCTACTATGCCAGCATCAACACACAAAACGTGTTTAGTTTATCCCGATAGCCATCAATTATTTTATCTTTTATTGACGACTGTCAAACGCTTCCTCTACCAAAAAAAGAGGAGGGAAAGCAAAGAAATAAAAGCAAAGTCCTTGTATTCTTGGTTCCAACTTCCATTTATAAAATTAAATAAAGTGTGAATATGTATAGGCACATACATCTAGCCATTTGCAAAACTTCCTAAGGGTAAAGGTGTTAAAAGCAAACTTTAGTTGCCCTTTGAGCCATTATTAGCGTTCATCAGCTCCCCACGACAAAAGTGGGGTTTCATGACAATCTTGGAGTCCAATGCCACAACAAATACACTCCATATTGGGGAAAAAAAACCCTAAATATGGAGAAAATGCCACTAACTACAAATAACCAAGTATAATTCTATACAGTATCACTTCTGAGAAACAGTCATTTCAGGATGTTATCCTGTCTTTCCTACTTCTCTGCAAACCACACACATCTAAGGACTCTGCTTAAGCACATTCTCAATATTTTCACACAAAACAAGGTGGCAAACAAGCTCATAAAACTCTGTAGCCCCGCTTATTTCAATATTCCCTTTTCTCATTAGTATTGAATTGAAACAGAACCTCACAAAAGAAATCTTTACTATTTGACCACTGAAATTTGAGTGCTTCACTCTCGCTGCTAACACAACGTGTTTCAGAAACAAGTCAACAGCATATGCTATAATATAGAAAATAACCCCACAGATTTGTTGTCTTCAAGCATACTAAACACTACATCATAAGCATCGTAAAAAGTAGTGGACACTAATTTTATTACCATAAATATTAGTTACTCAGTGAACTACATACAGATCTACAAGGTTTTTCACAGATACACCATGCTTTCATAAAAAGACCTTTCTGGTTCAACTGAGATGTAAAGGACGTTTAACAGTGAATGTAATGGATGTTAAAAAATATCTAAAATTTTTTTAAAAATTCTGTCTATTGATCTGAAAGCTATTGAGCCCACCAGCTAACAGCCACCAGCTTGCTTTCTCTAACCTGCAGCTTAGACACAAAACCAAGAACATCCACCTTTGAGGAGTCAATGATCGACAAAAGGCAGAGTGAAAATGATTGCTTACGTGAGGAATATCACACTCAAGGCTACAAGCATCTCAATTTTACACCACCATAAAAGTGCCCAGGGCTTGAGCAATTCTGCTTATCTGTAGACAAACAGATACGCTATCTGAAAAGATGAGTGACAAAGAGACCTGCCCAATGACTTAGAAGAAACTGTCATTTAGCCTGTTAATGTTAAAGCTTCAGAAATCCTTTCCCCAAGAGACAAAACTGCAAAGAATCCAGGAAAGCTGGAAAATTCCAAGTTTCCTAAGAACTGGTTCAATGGAGGGAGCTGCCCAGGAAGCTCCCAGGCCTGAAGGGCACTGGGGATGGGTGGGAGCCTCTGATTGATGGAGGAAGAAGCGACTGGAAGAAATGGAAACGCTGGAAATGACAACTGGAGCCTGCACACTTCACAAGGGGTCCTGAGAATTCGCTCCTTCGAAAGTTCAAGTCCCTGGACAGGTGGTTCCTACAAAAAGGGCCTAATCTCTCTCCCATTCTTGGCTTAATCTCCTCTAATTTGCTGTTGCTGACCAGCCACAGCCAACACAGTGGAGAGAAACAGGAAAGCCATGATGCAAACGTATGAGGTGAATGAAGACGCTGGGGCACGGGGATGGGTAATGGGGACAAAAAACAGGTTTCACAGCCAAGAGGCCAGATCCGACCCCACCACTCCAGTCCTAGCATGGGGGGGGGCAGGGGGTGCAAGGGATGGTAAAACTGCGGGAAGCGAAGCTGCTCGCCAAGCCCGCCGGCGGAGGGAAGACGTCGGGCAGGATCTGCTGCTGCCAGAGGCCAAAGTGGAGCGTTTTGTGAGTGAAAGAGTGGCTCTGCCGCTCCTGGAGTGCCTTGGCAGGGAGAGAAGACAATAACCCCGGAAGGGGTGAGCTCTGGGGCCCAGCCCAGGCCAAGTCTCCTTAGCAACCTGGCTGTGGCGGGGGCTGAGAAGAGCTCTGGGGATTGTCTCTCCAAAACTCCTCGTCACCCTCGCTCAGACAGTTCAGGACCTTTCATGGGAGCTAAAAGCCAGAACCAAAGCCCATTGAAGGCAGGGGGAAAAGACTCACATGGAATTCAATGGGCTTTGGATAAGGCATCTGATTCATTTAAAAAGAAAAATGAAAACTACTCTTATTTTCTCCTTTTGAATGTGCTTGTTTCCTCTCCTTGCAAATGTGTGATTCAAGTGCAGGCTAGGAAAATAAAAGCTGAATAGCAAATGCAAAACCAAACACAAGTTCTGGGGACAACAGAATGATCCTCAATTACAGGGGGGATGGTGAGGAGAGAGGGGCAAGGGAGAAAAAGGTTACTTAATTATTTTCCACAACTCTTAATTAGACACATTTATCAGAGTCTTTAATACCAATTTTGAAATATTACTGACTCCTAAGGAATCATCTTGGTGGCTGCCATGGAGGGCTCCCCCAAATGACACCTCTCAGTGCATCAGTAACCTTCCTGGATCAATAGCCCCTGGTAGAGATTTTGTGTATTCAGTCATCACTGAATAAAAAATGAAGCAGTTCCAGCTGTCTCTCTGCTTAACTGAAAACACACACCTGCCATGCCCTGGTCAGCACAGCATGTTCAGCTCAAGTTGCTTATTTTGCCTGACTTGGAGCTCTGGAAGCCTTCAGTAGCAGTCTAGACCCTGTTCGGTGAAAACACTGCACCTTCCTTCCGATCGTGCAACATCTGTTGCTTTAGAAAATGCTAATTATTCCATAAATTATGGGTCTCAAAAGCATCCTACAGTGGTTTAAGCCAGACTGTAATCACAGCCTCTTCCCTTAGCTTTGACTTAGCATCACGGAGGGAGGCTGAGGGAGCTGGGTCTCTTTAGTTTGCAGAAGAGGAGACTGAGGGGAGACCTCATTCATGTTTATAAATATTTAAAGGGTGAGTGTCACGAGGATGGAGCCAGGCTCGTCTCGGTGACAAACAATGATAGGACAAGGGGTAACGGACACAAACTGGAACACAGGAGGTTCCACTTCAATTTGAGAAGAAACTTCTTCT